AGTTGATTCGTGTCGTCGCTACAAAAGATTAAAATATCCATCCCTTCTAACTGTATATTTATTATTACTGTCAAAATCAATTCCCTTTTCGTATCCAATCCAACCTCCTTTTTCTTATTTTTCTCAATTTGTATACATCGCCTTGATTTGGCCTTTTTGTGGTTGATGGTAATAGATTACCAACATTTAATTATAAGATTAAGATTAAAACAGTAGTAATACTTAGCATATGGACATGCTGCAATAAACCAGAGACCATAAAACATTTATCATGAAGTTGTCATAATAATTTGTTTCCAGTCTCAGACATGCTCTAAACAATCGGATTTTTGAAATGACAAATATTGAATTGCGTTTGAATATAACAATTATTTCATTTGGTTACTTCAAATATACTGAATTGAATTTTGTTAAAAGTAAGATTTATAATACTAAATACTATAAAATACAGAATGGAAATGGGGAATGTGTCAAAGAGACAACAACCCGACCAAAGAGCAGAAAATAGTTCAAGGCTACCAATGGGTCTTCAACGCAGCGAGAAAATCCCGCACCCGGAGGTGGGCTTCAGCTGACCCCTAAACAATAATGTATACTAGTTCAGCGAAATGGACGCCTCACTAAACTATGTTTACCGGAAAAAATTACAAGATGTATTGACAAATAAAAATGCTTTAATGAATATTTGAAAGAAAACCTTAACTTACAAAAATACATTTCATTTGAATACCTCTCTGATAATGAATAAACCAAATGCTGGATAGACTACATAAAAAAATGTTGCCTTTTATTTAATTTTCCTTATAAAGTGTATTTTATCAACAACAAAAAAATACTAAATAGAAGAAAAAAAAGATCCTCTATTTGGCTTTTAAATAACCATTTATGTTTTACCTAAATCAAATACATTCCAGAGTCGTTTTAATTCTAAATTTCCTTTTTGTGAATACGTCATCCTGTATACCTTTGTTCATACATGTTGTGCCAATCTATTTGTTTCAATAAAGTAAATTCATTATAAAAACAAATATTTAATTAATCACTAGTATCACAACATAACATATGATACATTTTTTTAAAAGTCATTAGTAACATTTAATCAATATATCATATAGTTATTTATGTTGCTCATGGTTTTCTTCAGACGGCGAGAGCGGATTAACTACACCCGTACTGATCTAGACCATAATAACGACTTGGACTGGTCACTTTATGGAAATGACCATATCATTCAACATGATCAGTTTTCATCAGACTTTCATAGCCCAATTTTTACAGGACGATTGACAGAACAGACAATACCAGATCTTATCTTTCGCTCGGATAGCAGTTCTTAATAAGAGACTATTCCACCATTTGTGTTGTGTGAGCCATTTTTGATGATATGTGATATAAATGTATTTTTATCCATTCTCAATTTTATTTTGTAATTTACTGTAAATGTTATTAAGACCAAAGACTACACGGGATGAATTTTGCTCATTGTTTAAGGCCGTTCGGTTTCTTGTTGATGTTAACATCTTTGGTCTTTATGAATAGTTGTCTTATAAGCTATCATACAACATTTTCTTATTTTCATAAAGTTTAGTTCTTTTTAGCAAGTTTGCCAAAGTCAGATTTGGTTTCGTTTATTTAAATGAACTTGACCACAACTAAGTCAATAATGCTATGTTATTAACTGAATCAATCTTTTTTGAAATCAGCTTCTTAATTACTACAAGAAATATACATGTATGTGGTTTTTGCTGAACGTATACGACAAGAAACATCTGATTTCCCAGCACGAGACACCTTATCCGTGTATAAAACTTCGTCCACTACTATAGTTTCAGAAATAAAACAGTTTTGTACTTAAAGTGTTCAGCCTTTTTGAACTAGATAGCACAGTACAAAAACAAATCCAATTACTTCGCCAGTAACGTCTCAGCACGTAATACCTGGGATCTGTTAATCAACTTTATTCAGTACTTGGAGTACAAAATGCAAAATGTGAGCTCGAAACACCAAATCCCGTATTTTGGTTGGCTGATTAATGAGTCTGAGTACGATAGTCATGTTCGAAATTTTATGGTCTTTTTCGAACGTGTGACAAGAATTTTCCGCATGACAAGTAAAGGAGACACATAACCCGTGAACAAAATAGATGTTACTGAAAAGTTTAACATTTTGTCCTCAATAGCATAGTACACACACTATCTTTAAAACTAAAATAGACAGAGGGAAACTTTAAATGCCCAAAACAACCAGCAGGACATGATCTATAAGAGAGCCGAATGATGCTAAAGGGACAATCGAACTCATAAGTCGAAAATAAACTGATAACGCTATGGTAAAAAAAAGACCAAAAGACAAACAACAGTATATAAACAAAACACAACAATGAAAGCTAAACACTAAGCAACAAATAACAAATAAGTTGATATAGTCAGTTGACCTATTAGGAGTTATTGCCCTTGAAGGACGATAACACAGATGAAAACTTTAATAGATACACGAAAATGTGAAAAGCAAAATTGATCAGCAGGACAAGGTCTATAAATCATTCAATATGGCCGAAATCGACATTTCGACTATTTTTCGGAGCTATTGCCCTTGAAAGACCCTTTAACCCATTTGTTTTGTGATTTTTGTGGAAACTAAAGTAGATAGAGGAAAACTGTAAATTGCAAAAAAAAAAATTGCTAACAGGACAAGATCTATTAATAAGTCAACATAGGCGAAATTGACAGTTGATTCATTATAGGAGTGATAACCATTGAATGACGACTTTTAACCATTTTCGGATATTTTTACGTAAACTATAGTGAGATGGAGGAAACCGGTAAAAGCAAAATTGGAAAGGACAATATTTACAAATTAGTCAACATGGTCAAAATCGTCTGCTGACTCCTTATATGAGTTATTGCCCTACAAAGACACTATAACACTTAAAAGGCATTACAGGAATTATCAAAATGTTTGTACAATACAACAGACCACACTAACACCGAGTCCTATGATAAACAGACCACACTAACCATTAACACCGAGTCTTATGACAAATAGACCACAATTACCACTAACACCGAGTCCTATGAAAAACAGACCACACTAACCACTAACACCGAGTCCTATGATAAACAGACCCCACTAACCACTAACAACGAGTCCTATGATAAACAGACCACACTAACCACTTACACGGAGTCCTATGATAAACAGACCACACTAACCACTAACACGGAATCTTTTGATAAACAGACCACACTAACCACAAACACGGAGTCCTATGATAAACAGACCCCACTAACAACGAGTCCTATGATAAACAGACCACACTAACCACTAACACCGAGTCCTATGATAAACAGACCCCACTAACCACTAACACCGAGTCCTATCATAAACAGACTCCACTAACCACTAACACCGAGTCCTATGATAAGCAGACCACACTAACCATTAACACCGAGTCCTATGATAAACAAACCCCACTTACCACTAACACCGAGTCCTTTAATAAACAGACCCCACTAACCACTAACACCGAGTCCTATGATAAACAGACCCCACTTACCACTAACACCGTATCCTATGACAAACAGACCACACTAACCACTAACACCGAGTCCTATGAAAAACAGACCACACTAACCACTAACACCGAGTCCTATGATAAACAGACCCCACTAACCACTAACACCGAGTCCTATGATAAACAGACCACACTAACCACTAGCACCGAGTCCTATGATAAACAGACCACACTAACCACTAACACCGAGTCCTATGATAAACAGACCACAATACCACTAACACTGAGTCCTATGATAAACAGACCACACTAACCACTAACACCGAGTCCTATGATAAACAGACCACAATACCACTAACACTGAGTCCTATGATAAACAGACCACACTAACCACTAACACCGAGTCCTATGATAAACAGACCCCAGACTAACACCGAGTCCTATGATAAACAGACCACACTAACCACTAACACCAAGTCCTAAGATAAACAGACCCCACTAACCACTAATACCGAGTCCTATGATAAACAGACCCCACTAATCACTAACACCGAGTCCTATGATAAACAGACCCCACTAACCACTAACACCGAGTCCTATGATAAACAGACCCCACTAACCACTAACACCGAGTCCTATGATAAACAGACCCCACTAACCACTCACACCGAGTCCTATGATAAACAGACCCCACCAACCACTAACACCGAGTCCTATGATAAATAGACCCCACTAACCACTAACACCGAGTCCTATGATAAACAGACCCCACTAACCACTAACACCGAGTCCTATGATAAACAGACCCCACTAACCACTAACACCGAGTCCTATGATAAACAGACCCCACTAACCACTAACACGGAGTCCTATGATAAACAGACCCCACTAACCACTAACACGGAGTCCTATGATAAACAGACCCCACTAACCACTAACACCGAGTCCTATGATAAACAGACCCCACTAACCACTAACACCGAGTCCTATGATAAACAGACCCCAGTAACCACTAACACCGAGTCCTATGATAAACAGACCACACTAACCACTAACACCGAGCCCTATGATAAACAGACCCCACTAACCACTAACACCGAGTCCTATGATAAACATCCTATCGTATACTTTAGGCAGTATTGGTGCAAATGAGTTGTGTCGCAAAAGGACGCATTTTTGACGCAATTTGATTTCTTCCCCTTGATTCTGTCCTTATCATTATCAAAGCTCTTGAGGTACTTATAATTTTTTTTTTGTGAATTAAAAAAAAAAGACAAGGTGAAAACAGTTTTGTTTTATTGTTTGATGTATCACTTCTATATATAGTCATGCAACATAACCTGATAAAACTTTTTTTAGTTACACGCTTTCTGCATTTTGAAGATTAACTAATGGAAATAGGATATGTAATGTTCGATTTTCAATAACCAAATAAATGAAATCACAGACATTGATTTTTACCTGTTAATTGAATGTAACCTCTCGCGCAATATTTACGGATTCTGAAAAGCCATCCTGGAAACCGACATAGAATAATAGGCAATCGATTAAAGACTAATTTAGATAAAAACCTTGCCGTTTATTAATATTGACAAAAAAGTGGTCTTTTAAACTGTTGATTTAAGTTGATCGAACTTTTAAGCAGTTCTTTATTTAACGTTTAAAAAAATGGGATAAAGTGCGTAATTTTCGTATTCACAATGGAACCATAAACAAAATGGAGTTAAAATTTTTAATAATTCTGTGTTACGTCTCTCTTCAACAAGTCTATGGTAAGTTACAATTATATATATGATATATGAAGTAATTATAAAAACCTATTTATCTGAATGAATTAGTCATATAATATCAACTGTCATACACGTGGGAGGTTTAGGTAGCTATTGAACCAGGTTAACCCACCATTTTCTTCAGAAAATGCATATATATGCCTGTACCAAGTCAGGAATATGACAATTGTGTCCCATTTGTTCCGTTAGTTAATAGTGTCTAGCGTTTGATTTTCTAAAGTTTTTATAGACTTCCCTTTTTTAATTTTCCATGGAGTTCGGAATCTTTGTTATAATTTTTTCAAAACGATTAAATATTAGATTTTACCATCCGTTCGCTAACCAATGATTTGTATAGTAAGACTTAAATAACAAACAACCCTTCAAAAGTGCACAGCTTATGTATAGAGAGATTTATAATTATTCTTCTTTCGAAGTAAAAATCAAATTTGAGATAATTGTGAAAGATACAGCAACCTGGCTATATGAGATGTATAAAATACTCTGAAACTATAGTAAAGGACTAACTATATTAACAGCTATTTATCTCTATTTTTGAAGAATCCATGATAAAATAAGACATTGCACTTTTATCCTTCGTCCGTACATGAAATTTGTTTTATTAAAATAATATCACAAAAAGAGTAGTTGAGTTTATAAACTTAATGAAATACATATCTTATTTCAAGAGGATAATTTCAAATTGAATTTAAAATACAATGTAATACGAAATAATTTTATTTGATGATATATGTACTTCGAATACAACGTAGAATCGCGCGAAACGCTCCTGAGTCACAACCCTTGTTTACTTGCTTGGATCACAGCGTAATTGATTATCTGCCGCAAACATCCAAAGGATTCTGGATCCTTCCAGTTTTCGTACATCAAATACAACTAACGTTACAACATTGGTTGGATATCAATTGGTACGTTGTTATGCTATTGGTTTGATATCATTTGGTACGTTGTTACACCATTTGTTGAATATTAATTGGCACGTTGTTACACCATTGGTTAAATATCAATTGGTACGTTATTACTATAATGGTTGGATATCAATTGGTCCATGATCGCCAACTTCGTATTTTATGTGACCCTTTTAACTTTCTTTGATTCGAGCGTCAGTGATGAGTCTTTTGTTGACTAAAACGCGCGTTTGGCATACACAATTTTAATCCTGGTATCTGTGATGATTTTATTAACAACCACTGGGTCGATGTCACTGTTGGTGGAGGTTTCCTCCCAGAGGGTATCACCATGCAGCCCAGTCGTCAGCACTTCTGTGTTGACCTGAGTTATCATTGATATGGTCATAATTATGAATTAACTGTTTACAAAACTTTGAAGTTTTAGAAATGCTAAGGATTTTCTACCCCAGGAATAGATTACTCTTGCTGTATAAAACCTTTGGGAAGTTTGGGTCCTCTATGCTCTTCAACTTCGTACTTTATTTGGCCTTTTTAACTTTTTGATTCAAGCATCACTATGAGTCTCTTGTAGACGAATGAGTTTATTGGTACGCTGTTAACCAAACCAAACAATTCGGCGCACCCTTTTAACTTGGTTATGTGTTATTTTCGTTTTTTTTTTCTTTTTTCGATAACGACTATGTAGGACCTACCCATGCTCGTTAACAAGTCCATCTACAACATTGCTAGTTTGTTTTACGAATACTGCATCTTAATCGAAACCTTTTAAAACTCATCAAAGAGATCAGGTTTATAATTCAGTACTCCATACGCGAGTTTCGTCTACATAAGATTCATCAGTGGCGCTCGAATCAAAAAATTTATTACTAAGATTAGCTTGAGAGAAAAATAGGGGAATAGAACTGCGTTGTTATAAGAAAAACATTTGTTATAGAACAAAAGGCAAAGTAATAATACATGTTCTTCCACTCAATGCAGTAAAGTCGCTAAACATGTACAAACGATTCTTCATGTCAAAAATCAAAAAGTTCTTTCATTTCACATATAGAATAATCGTGATGTTTTCTCACTATAAAATTCAGTTTTGTGGCTTTGTTGAACGCATGTATCCCATCGAACTTGAAATTAAGGATACAACAGATACGGTTAAGTCTGCCCTGCCTCATATCTTCAATTACACCAAGAAACGGACAATGAGGGTCGGCTGAGAACAAGATTTTACGACAGAAGAGATAATTTCAATTGTGAACTTTCCATTTCTATTTAGCAATATCCCAGCAGCGCCTGCATAAGGAGTATATAACTCCCAGTTGATACGATATTCCATTAACGGTGACAAAGACCTGTCAATTTATTGGTATTCTGCTACTATGACGAATATAATATTCACTCCAACCTCTGTCTTAATCTAAAAGGTCAATTTCATGAATTTTAGTTCATATTATAATCTGAATGCCAGGCAGGTGGGCGACAGGTCCAACTTGATTTATGTTGTGGGGTATGTTCTATTGGACTCATGATCAACGAAGGAGTTACATGGATTTGGCAGTGTTTGTTCTTTGAGCTATGTCCTCGCTTGATTCGCTTGCAGTCAGATCTGTGACTGCGGAGAGAGTTCGTACCGCTATAACAAGTGACGACAGTATGAATGATCTTGTTAATTTAATTGAGTCTAGTACATTGGAGTTTCCTGCACAACTGCGGGAATACTTCCAATTCCGTGGACACCTTTACACCGTTGAAGGTGTTATACTTTACAAGGACAGAACAATAATTCCCCTAGTCTCTGACAGAAGTATTGTCTGGTTTACATGCAGACCACCAATGAGTGACCGCCATTATTTCTAGAGACGAGTCGTCGGTCTTTTGGCCTGGCATTACTACTACTTTTTCGGCACAAAGAGCCGGGTGCAATAGTACCTTCTAACCCAAGTACTCCACCCTCACCTCTGTCTCTGACGTCACCATACTGCCCGTTTCAATGCGTCTGTTCGGACTTCTTTAAAATACAAGGGAATGTTTTACCTCGTCATAGTTGACCGATACTCAAACTGACCATTTGTTGAAAGATCCTCAAATGGAGCAGTCGGGCTCACAACCTAAATGTGCATGAAATATTTGCCACTGGACGTTGGGCAAATCATCATTATTTTTTTGTCAATGAAAATGAAATAACATCTCAGAAGCTTAATGTGCTTCTGAAATATTTAATTCATTTGAATCAAAGGAAAATAGCGAAAACCTGAACTTCTCAATCACCGTCTCAGCTTTAGAATGAAAACATGTTTCAATTGTCAGTTCTACTCCAGTAAACAGAAGAGATATCTGTCAAATTAATTGTAAAACGTGCAATTAAATTAAATCTGATTGATTTTGAGTTCGTTTAAAAAGCTTTTTAATGTTTTCATTTATGGTATTGACTCGTGATTGGTTAGCTTTATCATTTGACCTTTACAAATGCACGAGATGATGATGGAACAACTCGATACAATCAAATTGTTTAAATTTCTATATAGACAGTACTATTTATTGTATAAAAAGAACAATAACGCAATTAATTATTAACTAACTTTGTATTGTATGCTTTTGGTTTTTTTTTTCATTGATTCAGTAGTCAAATTAATATGAATAACATCAATTCGCGTTTAATGCATCCCCAAACACACATTACGGCATTCTTAAGTGAACATAACATGTCTCAATGTTTCTTCATATATCATAAATATTCCATACTGTTGTTGTTTGAGCAAAGATTGATTTTTTAATGGTCACGTTGTGAATTAGGAAAAATAATAATTACCGATTAATAAAATATGAACATGTATACACTATCCGCTACAACTTTTTTTTGTTCTTGAATATTTTGGTCTCGAGCATCACGGAAGAGACATTAACTGGCGAAATCTCCTCTTGTGCAGTAAAATTGATACCGTTAATGTTATAACTACATGTGTACAAGGATGCTAAATAGATATTGTACACACAGAAATTATTCGTTTATATTATAATCCTTTAGTTTAAATACGTGTATTGGAATATGAAAATAACAAAAAAAAAGTATCAAAGTTTCTAAAAGTTATTCCACATGTCATGCTCACTGAAATCAGTACCATACGATAATTGTTCCTCGTCTCTTGGAGTGGGTCGATTCTGCTTTGCCGTCCGACAAATATTTCCGTCACTTTTTTCTCAGTTCCTACTGAACAGAATAATTTCAGATTTGGTCAGTTGTTTTGTGTGTGTGGTTCTGTCAGACACATACTTCTTGTGTGTCGATACTCTGAGTTTTTCAATATGTTGAATGAACTTAGATATTTTTGTCACACGTCACACATTTCTCCAATACTTTGAATAGCTCTAATGTACTTTTGCATTAATATTGATATATAGATACGATTAAATAGAAAGTAATGTTTAAAGCATCGATAGTTATCATTTCAATTACATTTTGTAACTTTTTTCATTGTAAATATCAATTAAAGAGGAATAAATCAATTATAATACCGTTGAGAATTAAAAAAATATAATATTATTAACATGGTCGAATCAAACAAACAGGTCAATTTGAAAAAAAAGTACAATGTACCTAATGCAATGGGTGTGATAGAATAATTAACCATCCGAGCATGACCAACTTAGTTCACTTAGTTAAAACTCTGGTCTTTTTTTTCTGTCTGTCTCTCCCGTATTTTTGTATTATTGTATTGTATGGAGTCGTTTTTATTTTTGTGAAGTCTTTTGTATCTATAAGTCAGTACTTAATTAATTAATTTTAGAGATTTATTTATACTTTCACGTAGAATCTTCCGATGGACTTGTGTTCTTCCAAATACTCGCATATGAGTAGAAATAAGAACGGGGAGTCAATAGGTGTTTTGAATGAAAAAAAGGCGTTCGCGAAGACTGCATCATTTGTACTATACAAGTCATGCAATATACTGGTTACACTGTAATGTATTGTTTAAACTACTGTGTTGGTTTTTTTTTCTTAATTATTTGAATGATAGTATTTTTCTCCCTTTATTTTTCAACAGGAACTTTGCAAGTTCGTAACTGGTACGGTCATTTTCT